ACATACACATATAATATATACACATGTATATATATATATATATATATATATATACATATATACATATACATGCATATATACACACATACATACATACATAATATACATACATGCATATATACACACATACATACATACATAATATACATACATAATATAAATACATACATATACATACATATAAATACATATATGTACATATATACATACATATACATACATTATATACATACATATACTGTATATACACATACATAAATATACACACATACATACTGTATATAAATACACACATACATACATACATACATTTATAAATACATATACATCAGGGCTTGAAATTAACTTTTTTTTCTTGGTAAAGCACTGCCAAAATTTTCTGGCACCCCCCAAAAAAATTTGGTAGCACAAGTAATTTTTTTAGTAGCACATATTTCTCCATTCTTTTCGCATCCCCTAAGATAATAAGCGCTGCGCAATATGTTATTCTTTATATTTCCTAACAAACCCCCACCCACCCACACCTACACTGTCCCCATGGATTATTATGCAAAAAAAAAGACATGAAAGAAAAATAATAAATAAGAAATAACAAAAGGAAGGAAAGAAAAAAGAAGTAAAATGGTGGAAAGAAAATGACAATTAAAAAACTAAAAGAAAGGTAAGTATCAAAAATGAAATAAGAAAAATGATGAAACAATATTTTAAAAAAAATAGATATTAAAGGGATAGTCAAGAAAAAAGGTGAAAGGTAAAAAATTCAACCTAACTGGAAGGAAAGGGAAAGTATTCCCTGGAAAGTTTCAATTGTTAGGAAAATAAGAAAATTACAATTTTCTAATTTCTGTTAATTTAACAGATATACACAATGAGCAGTAATAATGTGCTAGCTAAACTGTCTAGTCAATGGACTGCCAAAATTTGCAGTTACTTAAGTGGATTGATATATTGATTATAAAATTATTAATTATTATTTCTGAAACATTAATTATATTTTCTGTACACTTTCTTTAAATTTTTCAGTATTTTTCTTCATTTGTGCAGGAAATTTCGAGAAAATAGATCCGCAGAATCGCATTAACACTGCGAATGCCTATACATTGGTTACAATAGCCACCGGCCGACTTTACTGCAACATTTGCGCGGAAACTGGCAGACTTATTTCTAATATGCGTGGATGGGACTTTTTTCTTTATGAGATAACTCTAAATCAATTTACACATAATTTCAACCTAAACAGAGTTCCAGAGTATTCACCAACATTTCGGGAGTGCTGAGATTCCAGCTCCCCGCTTGTGAGAGGCCATTTACGCTTCGTTTTAAGCCCGAAAAATTGGCATCACACAGTCGGCCGGCGACACTTCTTATCTAGGTTATAAGGTAGCCTAGAACTAGTACAACTTCAGCAAAGTATCTTATACCTACATATCTATAGTTTCATTTTCTTGTTCAATGGTTGTTTTTATTGAGAATTATTAAAAAAAAAAAAAAAAAAAACTGGTACGCCTTCGAAACTTCAGTACAGTAGAACCCCTCATTTACGTACGGCACAGGCCCAGAGCCGTTCGTAAATTCGGGTATTCGTAAAATCGGGGTTGACCCAAATTCCTATATATTTGCACTGATACTACTTACACTGGCCTAGGCTAGGCCTAGACTAGGCCTACAGGCTTACGCAGCTAAGTCTGAGGGGGCCTAGTCCTACAGTTGGCAGCCTCTAAGCATTCTGATCCCACTCTACACCCTGCACAAAAATTTGGTTTTATCGGACATTTTTACCTTCTTAAATACCTAGATCGTGGATTTTATTCCAACACAACTTCCATAGATACTTGTTTATTATATTGATCATTCAATAAAACAATCAAGCACTATGTTGAATTTTAAAGCTGAAAACGATGTTTGAAAGAGAAGTAAAATTTGTCGCATACACATGTGTGAAGCCATAAAAAACACTGACTTTGAAGGGGCCTGTTAGAGGGCCTCCTTCACTTGAGTATTACATAGTACTGTATAGTATGGTGTGTTGTGTTGTATGCATGGTAATAACAGGTACAATTCGAGCGGGTTTTTTTTTTTATAATCTTTCGCTTCAATTTTTATGACATCATCACCTGGGTTAAATGAGGGGTTCTACTGTATATTAATCGCCAGAGAACATCGTCACACTTCTAATGTTTACAAAGGTTTCGCGGAGTAACATATCCCAAACATTACAAGTTGCCACAAATGATGTAATATCCCAGCATTCTGATTGGTTTACAACTTGTAATGGACTCAACATACCTTACTCGCCAGCCGGTGTAGTCGGGCGCACATGTGGTTTGGGATGTTACTCCGTGAAATATAGTTTCGTAATTGGAAGGCCTGCTACCAGTTAGTTCGATGTTGTTTTGTTGTTGTTTGTCAAAACAAGAAACATTCCTTGTAGAATTATATATTTTTTATATATCTTATAGATTAAATTAACCAATTAATTCAATTGTTGCAATTTATTAATTCCACTTTTAAAATTTCATCTTTAAATATTCATTTATATACAATTCAATTTTCATATTATTTCAAAACACGATTAAACAATCATTTTGCTTACTTTCTGCTGATACTTTGTTAAAAAAGAAATAAATTGTTTGACAGAGCACCCCGGAGCTTCTTTTTCTTGCGAACTTTGGATGGGCTACTTTGCGAGATGGGCTTCTTTTCGAGACTACTTTTGGAAAGTAAAGAGGGGGGCTTCTTTTCAAATTGAGTGCTGTAAATTTTGTGAATTTGTACAATTAGACAATAAATAAGGTCAATGTAACATCAATCTGTATTATGGAGTGTATTTAACTGGCATTAAAGCACCTAAAATAATGTACAAACCAAGCTTATTTTTAAGTTATTTTGTTTTCAGAAATTGATGCACAGTGTATGTACTAGTGGAACTTGCGCGCTCCTTCTCTCTTTCTTCTCTTTCATTTTTTTTTTCTTTTCTTCTTTCAACTTCTTAGTTTCATTACTGTTACGCTATATTATATTCATGTTTTGAAACACAGGTGGGCACGCATTCTTCATATAATATATACCTGTCTCTTATACACATCTAGATGTGTATAAGAGACAGTATATATATATATATACATATACATACACATATACATATATATACATATATATATATATATATTATATTTATATATATATGTATGTATATAAATAATAATAATAATAATAAATAATAATAATAATGCTATAAAGGCAAATATACAACATGGTAGGCCCTAAATAACAATTAAGATGGTATCAGATGCCCGCAAGACGGAAACAAATTGGCCGTAGATTGGGAGTTCTAAATGTGGAATTGTGGATTTTGTTCCCAAGATATGGGTGTTCTCCCTGTACCCTCCCACTGCACTGGCTCCACCCCTGCTTCACGAATTGCCTTTTTCCAACTTGGGACCCCTGCAAATGTGTATCTTTGTTGTAATATAAATGCTAAGTTTTTATTATTTATTTGAGGTATATATTTATTAAAAATTCAACATCAAAAACATACATAGCAGCAACAAAGGCTGAATTGCGTATGAATTGAGAAGTATAAAATATATATTATATAATATTAAAAAGGTAGACAAAATAAAAAGACAAAAAAATAAATACCAATATCAAAATACGAGATAACCAAGGAGCATTTGTAAAACGACCGGACAGTAAAGGAGGGGAAAATAAATTAATCAACTGGAAGGAGAAAATTTTGAGTTTAACTTTTATTTATTATGTAAGCCAAAAATGGGATCGGACTTGTTTGGGAATCGTTTGGTTACCGGTAATTAATTAATTAATTAATTACGTTTATTTAAATAAGCCTGCTTCTTCATATCCGGAATAAAGAAGAGTCCCACCTAGTTATTTTTGTTTTCAATACTAGGTCTATAGTGATAATCTTATATTTCTATTTGCCCATACCACCAAAATCATGTGGAAAAAACTTTCCCTTTCCCTTTTCAAACTTAGGGACAAGAAAATGTAGATCCAGGTCTTCTAATACTGTTTTGATTAATCGAGACTAGACATTTTTGTTTTCGTAAGATAATCACATAGAATCAGTAGAATGTGCTTTGTTACGCGCGATTTTCCACTAGGCTCATTCCAACAGCCGTTGATTTTTTTCCACTTGACACAATGTCAAAGGTCATGAAAGCACCGAATGATAAAAGAACCGTATGTAATGATGAAAGGGCCGAAAGTTAAAAGCACCAAATGATAAAAAAGCCGAAGTGCGGCAAAAGCACCAAACGTAATGTTAAAAGCACCGAACGTACTGTTAAAAGCACCGAACATAATGTTCAAAGCACCAAACGTAAAGTAAAAAGCACCGAACGTAATGTAAAAAGCACCGAACGTAATGTAAAAGCACCGAACGTAATGTAAAAAGCACCGAAAATAATGTTAAAAGGGCCGAATAGCAAATGCGCTGAACGGAAAAGAGCCACCAAAGGCAGTAACGGCGTTCCATACTAAACAGTAGATGAAGGTAGATTGACGAGTCCGAATTCGGTTCGTAGTAGTAGAACGTTTTCGATGCACGTCTTAAAGTAAGCGCCTCTATTCTTTACCACTGATTCAATTTTCTTTTTTCGTTTCATTAGCCATACAAACAGAATTCGGATTCGGTGTGAATCTACCTTCTCACATCATTGTGTTTTTTCCATTGCATTGAATTAATGGGAAACTATATTTGAAGTCAAAGGACATAATTTTTGTGGGCTCCTAGCTACCTAGGCCTTAGGCCAAAGCAAAGCTATTTAGGACTGGCTTTGCTAGGCCAAGCCTGCCTCCTGTCAATGTCATCATCATGCATGTTTTTGTGCCACTTGGAACTTCTAAATTAACAATAACAAAGATGTTGAATCATGGGCCTAGGCCTAGGCTAGGCCTAGCCTAGCTAGGCCTAGGCTAGGCCTAGCCTAGGCTAGGGCCTAGATTATGAAAAGTTGGAAACCAAATTCTTAATTTACCTGAAATGTTTCAACCAAAATACATCACTCCACTCTGACAACATTACATTTTCCCACCAATTCCGGTTTTTCGGTAGAGACCAACATCTTCTCTGCAGGTTTCCATCTACTGCAATGTGTAGGAGCATGTTCATTGAGAGCAAAGCCTCTGTCCTGTTATGTATGTATCGCCGAAACCTGTTTCTACGCTCGGATTCTTGTCTTGCAACTCTCTTATTGAAAATGTCTATCAAAGTTAGCGCAATGTTGATGAGCACTTCCAATTCCGTGTCCTCTGTATGATCTTCAGATAGATATTGTGCTAATAGGGTATTTTCCATTGCATTCTCTACCTGCACAGTACAACATCAAGAAAACATCAACAATTAAAATTCTATGCCCAGTGCTAAAATGACTAGCCATGTGGCGTGTATGGGTGCGTGGAATTTTCCCCGCCAGAGGACGTCACAAGGCTTTGGCTAAGTTAATTAATGGCGAAATTATATGGTTATTATTATTATTATTGTTATTAATATTCATAATAATATTAATAACAATAATATTATTGTTATTAATATAATTATTGTTATTATTGTTATTATTATTATTTAATATTAAATACATTACAAGGCTTAGGCCAAGTTCTTAATGTTGGAATGATATATTTAATTTTTTATTTAAAATTTAATTTTTTACTCACTGTCCTATTTTAATTTCATGTTTTAATTTTTTTTAAATTTCAGTCATTGGCATGCGAAAAAACAAATCGCGGTCAGCGCGATCACAAGTTCAGGCCCGTAGGCGGGCGGCGATTTTTTTTTCCCGTACGAAACATTTACATGAAACTCCACTCGGGCCGTCTCGGCTTAATCGACCCGAAAATCTCATTGTAGATTCAGGAGGTCAAAAGGTCATCAACAGATAAACGTCTACAAAACAACTTTTGATAGAACGTCGCTGTCTAATTCTTAAAAATACATTGATGTTACCATGTTAATACCAATGGGTCGTTTAAAATGACATATTTGATTAAGCTGCACGAGTAATGAAAAGTGTTATTTTAACTTGAGTTACATACTATGACAATTTGAATTTTTTAGTTAGGCCTGGGTTTTGCATAATTACCTAGGCCTACAAGTACTAAAAACGCTTTCTGGGAAAAGCACAAAGAGTAGGCCTAAGGAAAAACGCGTTTTTCTTCATCACTGATCAAATGAAACAGGGTGTCAGTTATTTTCAAATTGGCAGGTTCTTGATTACAAGGCTAGACCAATTACATGTAATATCGAAATGATTATTATTATTATTATCATTATTATTATTATTATTTTATTAATTATTATTACCTGTACGTTAAGGGGAACTCAGACAATGGAGGAATTAGAGAACAATTTAAAAAACGGCCCGAGTGAAGTTTCATGCAAATGTTTCGTACGGAAAAAAAATCGCGGGCGGGGGGGGGGGGGGGGGGGGGGGGTGCGGACGCACCCCACAAATTCCAAAAGGTGCACTTTTTAAAACCTATGATTTCATAAAAATCGTTCCTAATTATCACTAAAAATTAGCAAACGCACAGGGGAAGCGTTGTTCACGGCATTAGACTGTAGCGAAAAATGATTCCCTCATCATTAATGGAACAGTCCCACGTCATGCTTGGCTGATTAGTTTTGATTTACATTTCGCAAGTCTAGTGCCATACGCAGCAAAAATCCATGTTCTAGTGTTGTTGTAAAATGTCTTTCAAACCAGGCTGGTTTTTGATTTACGTTTTGAAATAGAATTTGGAGAGGGCGTTTGATCAAGTTAGACCTACGTTTTGAATTTGAATTACATTTTAAAGAAATTAGAACTACATTTTGGAAAATTTGAACTACGTTCTCAAAAATTAGAACTTTGTTTTGGGAAACTAGATCTACATTTTGATAAATTTACGCCTACGTTTTGATAAATCAGACACTGAATTTTGCAATTACATTTTGATTTTAACGTGGACTTTTGCTGCGTATGGCACCCCATACGAATTCAATGGCTGGTCGTTAAAGCGTGCGAATTGTACCATTGCAAAATAGGGGTATTTAGTTTGTGTGTGAATGTAGAGAAAGAAAGTGCAAGCTGATAGTCCTTTATAATAAACAAAAAGGTAATATTATTATTATACTTCAGTAGGTATACATTTTTTTAAACATTGTACAAATGTGCATGATGCTTCTACTATGCACTTGCATGACCCATTGAAAATGGTATGGTATGATTATCGGATCTGAAACCGAAGATTTGTCGAGGAGAATACGTCATTTATATATTGTCATAACTACTATATTTGTTATGTAAATAGATTGAAAAATATATATATGTGTTCACCTACACATGCACAAACTAAAAATCAAAATAATATTTAAAGATAATGCAATTAACATTCTAAATTTTAACTCCAAATTAAGCTCATTTTGCTCGACAATACGGTCGAATTCTCGTTCGCTATACTATGCAGCGTGACCACTCACAATTTTTGATATCCCCAATGACTGGGTCGAACTTACCCAAGATTCAGCAAAAATTGCCCAAAATTACCCAAGCTTCCTGAAAATGCACTAAAATTTAAAAATATGTGTTTTTCGCATGTATAGTTTCCCTTTTCATTTTATAAACCAATTTTTTATTGTAATTGTTTGTCTTAATTGTTAAAATTAATATTCATGAGGTGATAATACGGATAGAAGAATACGCCCTCAGTCGGCCAAATTTATCAGTAGATCAGTGATCAAGTTTTATTATGTAATGCATTAATTAGGTGAGATCAATGCCAACGCAAATCACAAATAAACAATTCTGAACCCAATTTTGAGCAATAAACAGTCAATTAACAATGTTATGTGCACTTTGTTGAGTTTTGCTTACTTGAATGGACTGAAATATACTTTGTTACAGTACTTCTTAATTCTTCCTCTATGACAAAAATATTTAATTTTCTTAGTAAAAAAAAAATACCCAAGGATTTGAACGGAATATCCAAAAACCCAAGACCAAGTCAAAATACTCAAGATCTTGGGTAAATACCCAAGCAGTGGTCACGCTGATGCTATGTAATAAATAAATCTACATGTTGCCACAACAATGCCGAAAATCGGCCCAATAACAGCGGAGCTACTACAAAAAAAGTTCGGGCGGTTCACCACATTTCTTCTAAAACCGTAGGTTTTACACGGAAAAATTGGAAAAACCACGGTTACAAAATTAAAAAGTCCGACGAGATTTGGCAATCTTATGGATTAAAATTAAGATTAATAAAACTGTACTTAAATTTGGAATAGGATGGGAAAAAAGGCGAAAATCGGACAAGTAGAAGTAAAGTTATGAAGAGAAATGTACGAAAAATAGCGAAAACAGCTGAAAATCGAACGTTTCGAATTAAATTAAATGAATTCGCGATCAAACTTATCCTAATGTTAGGTCAGGATTGTTTAGGTTTCTGACTTGTTTAGCATGGGCTTAAGTATTTTTGACATCATGATGTTAAATACCTAAGCATATCTAATAAACACGTCAAGACCCTAAATTAGGCAGAATCATTAAAATTTGAAGTTGCAAATATTTTTCCAAGTTTAGCTCTATATTAAAGAGCTACAAATTTGAAATAAAATGAAGGTTCAATCATTGCAATCGCGTAACTAGAAAGAAAAGTTACGTTTTTTTTAAATATTTTATTATTTTAGTAAATTGAGGAAACTTTTTGTATTCAACAATTGTGAGCAGTGGCCCAAATAATATAATGTATTTTGCTCATGTAGACAAGTACAAACATTACAAAGATACTATACAAAGTAATAACTGTTTTAAATAACTTTTTATTTTCTTCTAACTGTAACCACGCAAAATCATGCACTACCATGTAAAGTGAAACAAAATGGCTGCCAAATTTAAAATGGCCGCCAAATCTAAAATGGCTACCTAATATTTCCAAAAAAGATTATACAGTTTATTTATTTTTTACTAAATAGGTGGCTAATTATTCTATTTGTTTGTTTGCATGTATACATGTATAAAAGATGGCTACCAAAATCCAAGATGGCTGCTAAAATCCAAGATGGCTGCCAAAATCCAAGATGACCGCCAAAAAATCGACTTTTACAAAATTAATTTGTTGTTGAGTAACAAGAAGAAAAATTAATTGAATATCTGTAGAAATTGTACATTTGATTATTGTCTTCATATTAAAAATTGCGGTCATCAGCCTAAAAACATCGCAGACAATCTGGTTGGTGAAGCTTCTGTTCAAGTTCATGTGCAGCGGGCTAACTGATGTCAACAGTACAGGACTCTCCATACTAAAAATGAAAAAAAATAGACATTACCATTAAAAAAAATTAGATTAGTAAATAATATATAATGTCATTGAAAAATAACAAGCTTAGAAAAATGTTGTATATGTTGTCTTTTAGGATACTGTAGCAAAAATGAAATAAACTTTACATTGATGAGTACTCTTGTCACTGATTTTTTGTCACTGAATGATTGCCGACTGTAAAATAAAACATTGTTGTTCAAACCATTTTTGACTATCAATAAATTAAAACAGATAAAAAAAAATAGTCAAAACCAAACTGATCTTTTGAAAATAATTTAATTAAAATAGTACATTACAAATAATTTTTAAAAACTGAATTGCTTTTTTTTAATTAAACAAAAAAAAAATGCTCATTAAAAAAAATATATATTTTTAATTAAAAAAAAAACTTGTAAAAACAATTAAAAATTCTAATAATTTTAATTATAATCATTGATAAACTAATGAAAGCATGAACAGAATCCAAAGCTAAAATTTTGCAAGTAAATTCTATAAAGTTACCCCTATTCCGGAAAATGGACTCGTCCACTGCCCTTTACAGCAATTACAACCGATCCATTATGGAACCAAGGTAATTCAACAAAAGGACACACACATCCGCTCTCGAACATAGCGCGTGCGTACAGTCCTTTGATCTTTACTGTGGCATCGACAATCCGATACTAGTTGCGAGTACAGTCGTCAATTATTAGTCTATGCGTGCCATTCGTTTTATGGTGTTAGTTTTTATTTTATTAATTTTGGGTACTTCGCAATGTCTGTTACATTTGATTTTTTTTTTTACCGCGAGCTTGTTAAATGCTTCTATAAACTGCAATTTGATTTGTGAAAATTGACCAAGAAAATGAAAAGTTATAGCAATTCAAAATTTACGAATTTTATAAAATTTCATGTTCTAATTTAACATTAATCTGTCATTTTGACAATGTTGGCATAAGGTGACGAGGACGAACATTTGAGTATATACGGAACATTTATTAATTTTTTCTGCGAAGTGAGTCTCATGAACGACAATTCACCACAATTTTGGTAAAATTAATGTTGAAAAGAAGAAGGCCTTTGTAATCACCGCACGACGCGCGACTAACATGGCAACTAACACGCGCGTGGGTAAATCGTCACGTACGCTGACGGTTTATGGTCTGGTTGCTATGGTTTTTGTGGCGTTCAGCGTGTAGGGACGCACGTGCGCCTAGAATGTCGATGCCAGAGTTATAACCTTTGATGTCCCGAGATGTGCGTCCTTTTGTTGAATTACCTTGATGGAACGTATTTTTATTATCGTAAAACCTCCCGAATTTACTCCGCAAAAAACTAAAATAATAACTATTTACTAGTGTAACGTGAAAATAAATGTATTTATTTACTTAAAAACAATCCTATTTGTTTGTGTGATTCTACAAAGTTCACCAGTTTTCCGCTAGAAAGTAACCTACCAATTTATATTCTGGAGATCAGAGAGAAAATCATTTTCATTAAACTTTTTAAAACTGCGAATAGTTTTGTACTTGTGTTTCTGTATACTTACCGTGTCGTGTTTTATTGTTTTCCAAATATAGCATAGGCCTATACAATGGTGGTATGTATAACGCTTGTGAGACTTTGGAAACATTGGTGAAGAACACTATACCGTACCTCAATGAGCGTTGAACTCTATACGAGTAGGTTCATGTACATGTATGAGACGTTCAAGTTGAAAGCTTTAAGTAACTTCATAAGTTTTGTTTTGTTTTTTTTTTGTGTATAGCAGTGCAGTTCAGTGGATATAAGATCGCAGGATCCCCCACTAATATGAACTCATCCTCCATAAAATATCATGAAGGTGGTCAAAAAGATAAGCAGTTGAATTCAGTAGTCATACTATACAAATGGTTTACTTTGGGGCATAATTTCAACGGATGTAAATTCAAGTTCAAGGCTACATCGTCATATCTTATTTTATGTATGCGGTATTTTGATTTATGTAAATCGCAACAACACCCCGTGTCTGGTTTTGACGATCATTCTTATAGATTACATAATCATTAACCTGGAATTCCTGGTCATTGAATGTGTCATGTTAAAAAGTTTCACTTTTACACCAAAAACATCCACATTGCTAACATGATGATCTGTACATAATCTTTATTAAATCAATTTGGATTAAAACAATATTTATTATAAAATTTTAAGTTATTTACACAGTATCTTGCCTATGTCCCATTTCTTCACATGATCTACATTTCAGCCCTTCACTGTCGTAGCATTCATTTGCCAAGTGACATGATAGACAGCCCACATTTCCAGCAAGTTTTATTTGAGTTGTAGTAGGCCACTGTGCTACATGTCTGATCTCCATCATTTCTTGGCTGATACGCATTCCTTTGCAGGGGCGGATTTAGGGGGGCAAGCGGGGGGGGGGCGGGCCGGGGGGGGGGTTGGGGGGGGGGGGGGGCAGCCCAGAATGTCTCAAATGTTACGTTCGGGCGTCTAGAACACAAAAATTTCGTACGGACCCCGTACGACAGTGTTGTCTCAATCGGCCCAACTTCCGCCCCCCCCCCCTTTTTGGACATTTCTGGATCCGCCCCTGCTTTGTACTGACATACCGACGGTATGCGCACTATTCTTGTTATGTATTCTTGTTACATTGTTATGTTTTATTTTTTACTTGTCCCCCGACAACTTCTTATCCAACTTGAGCTGAATGGAAGGAATAGGATTTTGCAAACAGTTTGCTAGTTTCATCGATCCAGTCGATGACAACTGTCAAGATCGAGCTATCTATCGGAGACACGTTTTATATGTACAAATTTGCGATATATCAATACAAAATACAGTCCAGTCTTTGACAATTCCTCTAAGCGGGTTTAACATCTCTACCTCCTCCATCTGTGTCCAAGAGTTTCTTGGACATTTACCGTAGCTGATATGTAAATCGATATCTTTGATTCTTTGACCACAATGCATGTGATAATCTGTACATTCTACTTCCATACGACTGATTCAATATATTTCCATTTGATATGTCATTTTCTCCAAGTAGGCCTGTAATAATATTCTGGATTTGTTTTAGATCAGTATTCATCCATGACAACTAGGCCTAGGCCTACTGATAGTAGCGCCTCTTTTTACAATCATCAGTGTCTGATGAAGAACAACTCAAAATCACGTAGAATGCGAGTTTTAACACATTTTAACACTGTGTCATTGTATTTAAAAACCTGTTTCTCAAAGTGTTTCTTTAATTATACCCTCAATTAAACGCCGCGGCGCTTATTCGAGCATTTACGGTAATTTCATGATTAAAAAAATACATCTAACCCACAATGGAATTGGCGACTGGGACCGAAGAAAGGGCCCCAGTCTCACAAAACAACAGGGCCCTCAGCCGCAGCATTACGCCACTGATTATAATAATTATTAAATACTATGTTCTATAAAATGAAGAAAACATAACCAGGGGCGGATTTAGGGGGGGGCCGGCCCCCCTTTTGGGAGGAAAAAAAAAGGGGAAAAAAAGAAAGAAAAGGAAAAAAATGATAGCCCACAACGCCTCAAATGTTATTTTCAGGCGTCTAGAACACAAAAATTTCGCGGGGGCATGCCCCCGGACCCCCTAGGTCATTGTTGTCTCGATCGGCCCAAATTTCGGCCCCCCCCTTTTGGACATCTCTGGATCCGCCCCTGATAACTGTCATTAAAAGTATGTTCAATTCTCCGGCATTGTTTCCTTAACCAAAAAAAGGTTTATGCCTGTTAAGAGTAAAAAAAAAAAACAAAAAAAAAAACAAAAAAAACCAACAACATTCAAAACAATACCAGAGACTTTTTTTTTTGCCAAAAATTTATTCTTCAATACAAAACACCATGTAAATATGACCAAAAACAGCGGTCTAAGGTTTAAGTATGTCAAAGATGTTAATACAATTAAACTTGCAGACTTTGCCTGACTCGAATAATTTTTAAGTCAAACTTGTTTTACATGCCAAATTGTTGTGTTTTCCATTATTAACAATCTGTGTAAAGTTGAATTTTATCTAAGTCGAACAATTTTCCAGTAGCTATAATATATTAAATGAATTATAGGTTATATAAGATTGGTATAGAAAAGTGAAAGCTTTGGGAATTTTTGGGCACAGCGCTATATAAATACCAAGATAATAATACAGTAATAGTAATACAGTAATATTAATTCATGGTTGTTCATTTGTTCTGAAAAGTGTGATATGTTTGAAAATGCAAGTAGCAACATTTTTAGCTGGGGGGGTTGTAAAAGACCCTAGTGCTATCCTGGATGAGACAAAGCTCAGAAGAATCTTGGGGCCTGATACAATTTAAGATTACTACAATAGATGGTCTTGTTATTGTGCAAACTTTTAGTATATTTCCAATTTTAAAATCTCATTAACAAAAAACAAAAAAAAACCATTATCAAGAAAAATTATTTCCTAATTTTTATATATTTTAGGGACAAGTATTTTAAAAATAGAGAAACTTTCGACATGTACCTGAAATCCGAATAATTAAGCTCATACTGGGAACCCTGACCCAAGAAGGATACAAAACAATTAGATACTTATAAAAAGTTTAGGAGTATGGGAATAATATCAACTCACCTCAAACTATGCTATTTCAGTATAATACTTAAGCATATTGAATTCATTAAATGAGTTTTTCTTTTTGATTTTTATATACACAGAATTTTGACATCCATATTACATTGGAATGTTCCAGATTTAAATTGTACAACACAAGCATCACTTGCACTATATCATTGATCTTTAGTAGGTGAGCATCGTAGACCATCTGATAAAGCTGCTGCAATTAACCAGTAAATACTAGATGTTTTATACTGGTGTTTTATAGGGGAGGGCGCATTTTCAGAGTAGATAAGTGAGTAGGGTTTAGTTTAATAAGATTGATTTGCAATGAATTCTTTTAATTAAGTTGCAAAACGGAGTGGGGGAACCAATGCCCCCCCCCCAACCCCTACTGGATCTGCACCTAATCCACAATAATACTTGCTACATAATAGGTGGATTTATAATGTATGGTACTGTATGTGTATTGCCATTCACATTGCATTACACATTTCACAGTCAAATAGAAATTTTCTATACAGAAAGTAATACATGCGATACTTCAAACCCCAGTGCACTCGGAAACTAACTGGCAAGTTTTAGTGATTCTCTTCATTTTTTATTGATTCATAGCCATGTCAAACCTGAATTTCATTCATGTAGCTATCATATTTATCGTAAAGAAAAGAAAGATCGTATCAGGTTTCCTGTGTAATTTCCTACATCATCACCAAGTATTTTTTGCCAGCGCAATAAGGAGCACACTGCAAGTGTTTATAAAATGTTGAAAGTAAACAAAGCTATATATGATGCCATTTCAGCCTAGATAACATTAAAATATAATATTGAAAGTTGCGATATAAACAGTAAAATACAAAAGTAACTGAAACTCTAAAAGCATAATAATAATAATAATAATGCACTTGGTTACCCCTAATACTAGTCTTTCTGAAATTTCATTGAATCAACAACTCTCTGCGAAAACTTTACATTTTACCTCCTGGTTGCGCATCGTAGCTTGGTGGAGGATAGTTAGCCCCAGGAGTTGGATAATTCCCAGGGGGAGGATAATTCCCAGGGGGAGGATAATTCCCAGGGGGAGGATAATTCCCAGTGGGAGGTTGGTAGGGATAGGCAGGCTGTTGTCCATACTGGTTGACCGGGGGTGGCTGGATGTACCCTGGATAGCCTATAAAATCAAAATGAAATAGAAAAATGATTACAAAATATATTTTGTCATTTTTTATGTGCACATGGCTGACTGTTCTTTTTATTACTGTTATACCTACATACACACCTACACAAACACGCCTACACACACGCGCACACACACATACATTTCCAATGAAATTAAAGACTCATTTCTTGTTGATTCTTTCCCTACTTTCCTTGTTAAACTGAGAAAAAGTCTGTTTTAAAATACACCATTGCGATTTTTTTTCCTCCCCCACCCCTTTTTTAGATAAAGTTTTCTATGTAATAGATTTTGATATCTTTTTAAATATTTTATATGTTTATCTTGTATATAGTATTTATTTTATGTGAAACTGGGTGAGTGGGAAACACTGACATTAGTCACAGTGATTAAGTTCGCTTTAGTGTTTCCATCCAGCTCACCCAGTTGATTTTATGTGTTTTGTCTGTTTTAATTGGAAATAAAAGAATAAGAATAAGAATAAGAATACAGATATACATACATGCATAACATACATACATCTTCATCAGAATGTGAGGAATAAACAATATCGAAGCATACAATACAATGGGAACTTCATATACAGTAGACATTCCATCATACCTATATTAGCGACGACAAAGATGATGATGAAAGATCATACAACATAGAAATAGACAACTTACCTGTCTGAACGACATGAGTAGTGGAAGTGACTGGAACTTGGTTTGAAACAACAGTCTGTTAAAAAAAAAACCCCCATAGATCAGATTCATGAACATATTTATATTCTGATTTAATTAATTTAAAAGGTAAATATTTGTTAAAAAAGAAAGTAAACTAAACTATACATGGGTTTAACAGACATTGGTTTCAGTAATTCTAAATAGGGTCATGTTTTAATTTTTTTTTAAACCACTTTTTAGGAGAAAAAGTGATTGATTGTGTTTAGATTATTAATTGATTTTAACTTTATATGTTGCCGGTTAGGGTATCAATCATGACAATTAAAATAGTAGAGCAGCTAAGGAGAAAAATCGTGCACTTTTGGAAGAAAGCATGAAACTTCCCACAGTGATACTATGACACCTAAAGGATCATTAAAAAAAATAGACCTGAAAAAATAAGCTGCTTAGTAGCCGCCATCTTGAAATTCAAAATGGCCGCCAAAATATTAGATTTTTATCAATAATCTTCATATCTACAGCACCTAGCACTGTCATTCAAAGGTCTTTACCTATGTTTTCAATATCAGGGAGTATTATGCAATCATCAAAAATCATGTCAGATGGCTGCCATATTTGATTTCAAGATGGCTGCCAAAATATTGTTATTTTTGTCATTATTTTCATATCTACAATAACGTAGCACAGTCAATCACACCTTTAACCACGTTTTTAATATCAGAGAGTATCATGCAATCATCAGGAAATTATGTTGAAAGGTCACCATATTGGATTTCAAGATGGCTACCAATGAAAGTTCCTTTTTTAGTTGTATGAAAAAGTTTCTCAAACGTTTAGCCACTTACTATCTCGGTGTCGTATCTGTAGGTCATATCAGTACACCACAGAGTCCTATACGATAAAGGGGCACATCTCACTCCAGATACTACTTTCATACGACTGACTATATTAAAGAATATATATATATATATATATTTTATCTACTTGTTAATATATGATGCAAAAACGCTTGACAGTCGAATACAAAATGTTTTATTCGTGTATATATATATATATACCACAGGTGGGCAAAGTGCGGCCGCAAAAATGAATTAAAAACCCTATGTGTGCGGCTCGCCAAGCAACATTGGCTAGAAAACATCTTATTTTTTACGGCCCGACCCTGATCATATGTAAAAAGTAATATTAAAACTGGGAATAAAGTGGTGTAAAAGCAGTGCTTGGAGGATTTTGAAAGTGCACTGGAAAGATTAAAGTTGGATGCGGCCCTCGGTGTTATATCAGAAAATCCTATCCTTTCATCGACAGTAAATCGAAAGCGAAAGAAATGAATCAAACCCCCAATTGAGTAAGTGCAGCACATACAACTTGCAATGAAGGTGAACTTTATGCCAGCATGTAGGCCCTTAAGTATTATAGCCGTTGTATATTACACAAAAGATGTCATACATCATGGAGTAAAGAATATTCTTTACTCCATGCAGATACAAAGCAATATTTGTAACAATGAGACAATAAGATACCGTGCCTTTAGGCACATAATACTGCCTATTCATAATTAGTAACAAATATAGCAATGGTGAATAAAAGAATATATATGAAATATTCGTTTCCTGATAAATCCAACTAGGACAAATTTTCAAACAACTGATGCATGGTTTAATTTTTAACTGGGGGCACTTTTGTCTTTTTCGTACAGTAGATAAAGAACCTTTTCTTTGATAGGTTCTGCCTGATATGATCTTTACATCATTGTTAATTTAGCACTGTTTCTGTCATTATTTGATCAGTTATACCACAATGCTATGCAGCAACATTGATTCTATTATGTTACTTGATTATAATACAGGTATGACTTCTAGAGTAATTGCTGGCAACAGTATATCATTTGTTTGAAGTGTCCTGGTTGGGTTGTATCTGCGATATACTAGGGGCCCCGAGTGGTAAATGTATGGCACTCACCTCGACAGCAAGAAATCACATTTTAATTCCCGCCGCCAGGGGCACATTTTCCAACAGTTGATAAGAAACTTTTTTTGTTTTTGATAGGCTATTCCCGATACAATACTCGCATCACTTTTTATTTATTCAAGCTCTGTTTTCACCATTATTTAATTATATAAACAGAGTGCTACACACAAAAATTTATTATATACATACATACATACATATATATATATATATAAATCGAAAGCGAAAGAAATGAATCAAACCCCCAATTGAGTAAGTGCAGCACATACAACTTGCAATGAAGGTGAACTTTATTTCACCTTGACAAAGGTTGATAACCGAAAACGTTTGCTCACTATTAAATAAATATATACCTGGCAACTTATTACTTTCTCTCCGGAGTTTTTTGTTTTATATATATATATATATATATATATAGGCCTATATATATATATTTGAAAATGATATTTAGAAGTCTATTTGATATTATTGTCTTCATACCATTACTTGAATGTGATATTTAATTTGTCTACATAATTTCATTTATGCTAAAGTTATCTAGGTCTATATACTTTTCTTAATTTTTCTTGATGTTTCTTTTATTTCTTTTCACTTTCTCCATTATAGTCATTTTCTATTCTTTCTTATTTCTTTTCCCTTTCCAGTTTTTCCTTTCCGTTCTTTCTTTTCCTTTAATTTTCTTTTCCGTTTCTTTCCCTTTCAATATTTACATATGATTATATATCATTTGAAAATGATAATTAGCCATCTCATAGACATGAGGTCTATTGGATATTAGTGTCTTCACAGCATTAATTTGAATATTTGATTTATGTTTATATAATTTCATTCATGCTAAAACTAGCTTTAATATAAATGATGTTAAATATCTGCATCTATCTCTCTCCCTCTGCACTTGCTCTCATACCATAGAAAGCAGTTATTTACTTATTTTTTTTATTTTCATTACTTTCGATTGATTACCAATTTGTTATTCCTTAACAGTTTTCTATTATTTTTTTTAAATTTCTATTTCTTTCATGTACCTTTCTTAATTGGCAATCATCCTGAAATCCATCGTGGCAGTTGTCGGACTTCTTTCTAAATGCCATAGGCCAGTCTCACTATGATTATGAGATGTTTGATGATTGCATGATATCCCTAATTATACATATACACAATATTGATTCACAGTGCTGGTAGTTTACATGTGTGAATATGAAAAAAAAATGTTGGCCGCCATCTTGATATCCTATAAGGCAGCCATCTTGAAATTCAATATGGCGGCCTTCTGACATAATTTCTGATATCTGCATGATACTCCCGGATATCGAAAACATGAGTAGAGATCTTTGACAGTGCTAGGTGTTGTAGATATGACGATATTTACAACATTATCAATAATTAATTTGACGTCCATGTTGAAATAGTATGGCAGCAATCTTGAAATTCAAGGGTGTCATTCTGACATAATTTCTGATGGCTGCTTGATATTGAAAACATGGGTAACGTTCTTAGATTGACAGTGCTAGGTGCTGTAGATAAGATATTGACAAAAATAGCAATAATTTGGCGGCCATCTTGTAATCCATTATGGCGGCGCCATCTGACATAATTTATGATGATTGCATGACACTCTGTCATGAAAACCAGCAATTTTGGTGTCACTAAAGGCATCTTTGGCGTTCCATATTTGTTATTGTAAACTTACTTGGTGCAGATGGATCTACTAATATGCAAATTGGTCTTGGTACGGGGTTATGTGATGCTAGTGAGGGTTTTGTTT